CTCAACCGTTTTCTAAAAGGGTTTACTAAACTATCATCAACAATATCATTAACAGTTAAACAGTCAGTTCCCTTTCATGATGATTCTTTTAAAAATACTTTCTTAGGACTCTTTTTTTTAAATCTAAAAACAGTACAAAAAGCCACGAAATCTAAGAAAATTATATCAAAACACTGGAAACACAGCCGCCAAAGGTTTAAACAACTTGTACTAACAATGCCAACTACCTCCGAGTGACCGAAACACGACTGCTTTTGTTTACAAATATCACGTGTGTGTGTCAGATTCCAATGTTTTGTTTGAGCTCTGAGGCAAAATTTCATGTCCAAATCCAATTATGTCGAATATGGATGTGGTTGAGCACCGGGGTTCCACTGTACTTAAAAAATTCATAGGGGAAAAAAGTGAAATATGATCACTAAATAATCCTTCCACTATTCGTTTTAAAAACGTGTCCCCTTACCTATTTGCAGAGAGGAAAACTGTGAGTCTGAGGTTCACACTTTGGAGTCTGTCAATTTTTATCTACCCGGGCACTCCTCGAACTCTTTCCTGCTTCCTCCCTGAACTGTTACGTTCCCGTTCAGCACACCATGCGTCACTCTCCTCTGGCTTCCCTTACTCCTCTTCATGATCTGGTCCCAACATTCCACACAACAAACTCCCTTGTCTTCTCTTACTAAACTAATCTCCCTCTATTCATATTGGGAGAAAGAGCGCATGGTTATTTCTTATTTCTTTCTTATGTGTTTATTTCCTTAGAATATGTGCTTTGTGAAAGTTGCTGTTTGAATTATCTTCATTTTTAGATCATTTCTCCCCCCTCCCAATTCTAGAATCGGAGAGTGGATCCCTTGGGAGCCCCTTCAGAGCCTTGGGCCATTGCAGCTTTCTTGGAAGGGACATCAGATTCAGCACTAAAAGGTAAGTGTCTCATTCTCAGAGACCTGTGTTTAAAGCATTTGTGCAGAGAATGCTTAAAATTATTACCAATTCAGTCAAGTGTGCACATACACCATTTCTTAAGGAATTCATAAGAACTCTCCTTATTCTAATCTGCGGTGCCATCATCTTAGAAAAGGAAAGTTATCCTGGAAATAAGTACCTGAGGTGCTACTTGCTCTTCTTCTTCCCTTACCCTGAAGAAGAGGCATTTTTATCACACCAACATACTCCAAAATCAAACTCACTGACATTGAGTTGATTTGGACTCATAGTGACTCCATTGGAGAGGATAGAACTGTGAATTTCTGAGACCGTAACTCTTTGAAGGAGTAGAAAATCCCATCTTTCTCCTTTGGAGTGGCTTATGGTTTCGAACTGCTGACCTTGCAGTTGACAGATCAACATGTAACCACTATGCCACCAGAGCGCCTCTGATTAATAAAGTATATCAAAAATTAAAGCTGAGTCAAAGTGCATTTTCAAGGTAGATCATGCAAAAATGTTCTCAGAAAAGACATAATTCACCACCTCACACCCCATAATCTCTATGTCATACAGCGCTTGTCAAACCTCCTCCCAGGATAATCACATTGAAACATAGAATCGATGAGTTTCCTCTGTCAGTTTGAATTCAGAATTGCTGAATAAGATTGATGAAGAACTCTGGTTTAAGCATATCTTTGAATGAAATTTTTGTTCTTGTTCCAGGTTAGAAAACCTACTGGCTCAATCAAAATAATGACACCTTTTTCAATTATGTATTATAGAAAGATGTTATTGGTGAAACAAAAGGGATAATAATAGTTGTTAATTACAATGATCTGTTGCTATCGTGACATTTGCATATCATACTAAGGAAAAAATAGAGAATCTTCTGAACTTTCGCAAATTTTTTTTTCTCCAAAAATGGCTGTACGCACTGGATAGTTTTGCTGTTGCAAGGATGTTACCCTTGAGACTTGCCAGTATCACTGAAAGGCAGGTTCCATACCAGCAAGTGGTTGGGAATTATTAGTTGCTATGATATGTATAAACTTTTCAATATTTGGTCAATTATCTCTATTCATATAAAAGTTTGAGAATGTATTGGTAACATTTAAAAATATTTTAAAATATTTTTGGAGTCATATTTTGGATCCACATCATGATCCAGCTAAGGCATTTCTGTGGGTTTGAGTTGTCTATCGTATTTTTCCAGATGTACACATAACTCATCTTTCAGTCCAAGCATCGTCATCCAATTTTCAAGTCACTGGTTTCCAAGAACAGGCCATGAGTTACAGTCACCCTTTGCTCCCACCTGGTTACAAGTCTAAGCTCAGTCATCAGGTTCCTTTAAAGCAGAACAATAAAAAATATAAGAATAAGTCAACCATTAAGTTATTAACTCTTGAATCTTCTCCTAAAACTATCACTACTATTTGGTACATGGGCTCTCCTTTTACTTAGGATATGATTCTTTCATTCTTGATTTGTTTCTGAAAAGAGGGAACTATAAAAATGTTGTGATAAACTTTCCAAGATAATGCATTATCATTCCATGTCAATTTTTAAATGAAATTGCCCCAGCGTTTTTCCCTCTTTAACGTCACCATTTTATTTAGCTTATATATTTTGCCCACAAATCGTTTACAGAACACAGAATGATCCCATTCTTAAAATTCTCTTGAGCAGACAATCGACATCCCATCATTAAACATGTCAAAGTTTCAAAGGCTTTATTGTTTAGAGCGTGTTTCGTCTTGTCGCATTCTTATGTCATCTATAAATTTGTCTGCGATCCCTTATCAAGTTGCCTTTCAAGTATTTTAGCTTATAAATGTCCTATGCTGTCTACTAACTTAGAAAGCAAATTGTTTCATCCCCCCCATAAAAGTAATTCTTCCTCCAATATTCATAGTCTCAGTGGGTCTCTCTTCTCTTTTTGTACAATCTAATTCTAAATGCCCAGGTAATGCTGCGTGTTCTGTGAAGATTGTCTCACAGAATTTCCCTACAGAACTCCCACTTGCACAATCTATGTTTTACTCATTTTGGTCAACTGTTGCTGATCCTATTTGGTACTTCCCGATTTTAAAAAGAAACAACCCAGAACATTGAGTGTGAATCTCCTTGGGTATAAAATCCTAAGGGAAGAAGGACAGCCCCAAATATTCCCTGTTAAAATTTCAGATGGACTCCACATCATTAATAAAGCTATCTATGGTTAGCTCATATGAAAATTAAACTTTCACACATAAATTATGAGCACAAAAATGTTATGGTGCTGCCATTCTGTACCAGTTCATTGCCTTTCTATTGCTGTTGGCAGAATGCATATATGAAAAGTGTATAGGTTATAACCTGATAATAAAACAAAGCAGCTTCAAATTATAGCTTAAATGGCTGCTTATTTTAAAATAAGCCTTGAAGACCTCAGACACTGTTGTTTCTGATAGGCAGGCACCATCTACTTTCTTCACCACATTTTCCTATAGCACCCATATCTTCAGAGATCACTCCATGGGTCTGGGTTTTAAGCAGGCCCATGTTCTATGAATGAATTGTTCTTAGATTAGTGCTACGATTCAAAATTTTAGCTCAAAATCCATTCATATATCTATGATTTACATATGTTTCTGGTTCACTTTAAAAACATCATTCTTGTTTTGTTCAAGGACCTTATAAATGATTCCTGTTGGGCATTTGGTAGTGCTCTTGATATTACCATTGTTTAGTTGATGGTGTAGAATATAAAACACTGTGAAGAAAAAGGAAATATACATTTATAGGCAGTTTTATAGACCAAAATATATGGATTATTGATTTGTACAGATTAACAATTTAGGTGACTTGACACTGCATTAACAATGAGCGTTTGTAGATTGAGTAAAAGATTTACCCATTCAGAAAGGTAGAACTGGCCTAAATATGCCATAAAAGGTGGAAAGTATTGAAACAGCACGTATATGGTAGTCGTGAGTTGTGTCCACTAACTTCACACAAAGAAGCACACCAACCTATGTGATCCAAGAAGTTTAAAAAGCTATGGATGCAGAAAGCTATGGATGACAGTGAAAGCCATGTGCAGGGTCTCCCAGGCAGATTAAGCCTCGGGGGAATGCCCTCTGGTGATGGACCAGCAATGGGAAAGGTCTTGTCAGACGGAGTCCATGCAAGGCAGATTACTGTAGTTACAGTTAGGGCAAAATATGGCACCTTATCATTTGATCTCCCTCTTGATCCAAGGTAGAATTATTGTAGTTTTTAATATGTCCTACTTTGTTTTTGATTGAGGTTTCTCTCTATTTCATTCTGCCATTGCTATTGAGCCATTTTTTAATTAAAAAAGTTGTATGCTTTCTGTATATAAAACCAGGAGATGTAAACCAATAAAGACGACTGGATTAGCTGGAAACCACAGGGGAGGTTGTTGGGAAATGAACAGCTAACAACATTGAGTATAAAGAAGACAAATATCCTGAAATTGATAGAGGTGATGGTTGTACAACTTTTAGGAATGTGATTGAACCAGTTAAATGTATATGTAAATTGTAGGTTGAGGAAGTTGTCAAAAACAAACTAATTTAAAACACTTTACTTACAGACTTTATTCATATCATTCTAATAGGTGCAACCCTATCTGACTATGGAAACGCATTTACCTCTAATCCACACATTGCTCTATTCATTATTTTACCCACAGTCCATAGTTTTCTCGCAGTCCATACTTACCCATACTCCATAATCATAGTCCTATGCTGTATTTTACCATACTCCGCAATTTCCCATGAACAGTGCCTTCCTCACCTGTCATGGTTATTCACATTTCGTAGCACACCCATGCTCTATCCTTTAACCCAACTTGAAAGGCACCCGTTCTTTTGCAGTCTTCTTTACTCAGTGTCCAGCTCTTATACGCACATGAGGCAACTGAAAATCCCATAGTGTGGGTCAGCCACACCTTAGTCTTCACAGGACCAGCTTTCCCTTTCCACACTTTAAGGAGCTCTTTCTGCAGTAGTTTTTCCAATGCAAAACTCTATTTCTTCACTGAGGCTGCCGTCAATGGGTGTTGGTTATGGATTGACGTGAAACACAATCCTTCACAATTTCGCTATTTCCTGCATTTATCATGATGTTGCTTACTGATCCGGTTGGAAGGACTTATGTGCTCTTTATGATGAGATATAGCTCTTCTTGATGGTTTTGGCCTTTATCTTCCTCTATATGTGCTTCAGGATCTCTTCATTTTCAGCAGGAGGGTTGTGTTGTAATAATGGTGTTGGTGAAGATATCGAATACACTATGAACTGCCAAGAGAACACACACATTGTTCTTGGGAGAAGGATAACCAGAATGCTTCTCATACATGAGGATGGCCAGATTTTGTCTCATAAACTTTGGCTGTGTTATCAGAAGGACCAGTCTTCCAAGAAGGACATTATTCTTGGGAACACAGAGAGTTGGAGAAACAGAGGGATGCCCTCACCAAAATGAATTTCCACAGTGCATGCATTACAGGCAGTGATATTGGGAGGAGGGTACAGGCGGGGTCACATTCTGTTCTGTTGTTCAGGAGGTCAGTATCAGTTGGAACTGAGTCGAAGGCAACTAACAACAACATACCTTACCACAGTCCATACAACTTAGTCATACATGGTATCCTATTCATACTCCGCATCTTTCCCGTACTCCCTACTTTACTCATACTTCACACACAACCACACTCCATACTTCACTGATACTCCATACCTTACCCACCAGTCATACTTTACCATTTTCCGTATCTTACTCATTCTTACTAACTTACTCATATTCTATGCTCTGCTTATGCTTCATATCATATGCATATATAATATCTTACTAAAATCTATACTTAACATTGCCATATCCCTGACAATTACACTCTTCCTTAATTATGTTTCTTTTGATTACAGTTCAATGATAACATTGTACGAATGCTCTAAGAATGTTATCATTGACTAACCTAGAATCATATGATGACCAGGCAAAGTGAAAGCAACTGAAAGCTGTTTACTATTTAATTCTACTGATACCAGGTTTCACTTAGGCCAGTGGACCCACCTGAAGCAGTGTTGTCACGATTGTCCCTGTCAGAAATATCCACTGGAAAAATATGTTGGATGAACAAAGTGCACCTTCTATACACACACGTGTTTTTGTCATGAAGTGGAACAAACCATGTGTAGTTTTTAGCCCATATTACCAAACATCCTATTTCATCTGATTGAAAGTTTCTCCTACAGCTATCATGAAGCACTTCTCTTTCATTCTAGAAAGAATGGCCCCCAAATCATTTGAGATGGATTTACTAACTTTGTCTAAGTATTTCCTGGAGAAAAACAAAATCACAACAACAAAACCATATACCCCCCTGGGATAGGTTTTCCAATATATTTCTATGTCTAGTATCTGTCTAGTAGATTAAATCGTTTATGCTTCAATTTAACTTTAGATTATCTTGTTGAAGTAGTCACTCTTCATTGAAAATATATGCTACCATCTATCACCAAAGAAAAATGGATTTATACATTCAAAGACAATTACTTAAGGATTCCTCAGAACTTTGATGCTTACAGATTGTAATTGTAGAACTGTATGTTCTAAATTATATATATACATTCTAGATAGTTAAAAAATCATTTTATCTATAGCTTGTGTATATATATATATACACACACATATATACATATATACATACATGTACACACACACATATATATATATATAACTTTGGGTGGAAGGAGGATACCTGTGGAGAATATTTGGGCTAGAAACTATTTTAGGAACATGCACCATGTAGAAATCTATCCCAGTAGCACTTCTTGGTAGTCATGTAATCAATTTCAATCAGTCTTCAAACTCAGAACCCCACTTCAACTCCAGTTCCCCTTGCCAGTACATTGTTTATACCAGCTTGATCAGGGAGCCTGTCAATGGCATTTGTATATTTTACAATTGCTCTTCCAGGGAGGGATTTGATGAACCCTGGAGTGATATACTGTACTTGGCAGCAACTGCCAAAGCTTTTGGGCACATATGCTTCAAATCTGAGAATATCATAGATATATATGGGAATCCTTTTAGAGATCTCGGAGGCAAGCTGGTATTTAACGCAAAAGCAAACCCATTCTGAGCTAAAGCACTTTCCATCAGGCAGTTTGGCGGCTGTTCTATGAGGCAGACTCACTGTGCTCCACGGACACATTTCGATTAAATGCTGCTTTGTATTCTTCCGAAGATGGGAACAATAAGGACGTTTGTCAAAGGAAAAACTGCAGCAAACGATTTCATGGTGAACATCTGTACTCTGCGGTTCATTGTTTGCAAGAGTTTATTGACCATAATTTTGATGCATATAGGTTTTAAAGAGTATAAACTGCATTTATCTTGGGCGCCCATCATTTATTTGAGGCTTGGCTTATTTATTTCCGTTTTTTGTTTTCCTGGGCAGTTTATTTATTTTGGGACTCTAGGGAGATGAGAGAAATGATGTTTCTGAAAAAGGAAGTTTTAGTCAGCTCTGCAACATTGATGATGAAAGACAATGTCTCTGCAAAAGCGATTGAGCAATTGAATTGAAAAATGTTAACACCAAACATATTATATCTTTATGATACCTTTCAGCCTTACTTATCTCAAACCAATTTATAAACTTTAAGACCACTCTTCAAATTCTTTGCCCACCATGCCCATCACAGTGACATTTCCAGAGTAAAATGTAGCAGCTGTTAATTAGCAAAGTAAATTAGGGGCAGGGGAGTCAGAAACTAATCAATGACACTATGAATATGATATTGAATTAAGTTGCTTTCTTTTGTTTCATGAATGGATGATCTACAGTTTGTTATAGGGAGCTTGTTGTTGTTTTTTGTATTTTGTTTGGAACAAGACTAGCCAAGTTGCTACATGAAGATGCTTTATCAGTCATAACCAGGTAATTGAAGTAGTCCTGATTGATTATCTAACTCTGATGCCATGTAAAGTGGAAACAAACAAACCCAGTTTCGTTAGTTATAACTCATGGATATACCACGTGTTACAGAGTAAACTGCCTCAGAAGGTTTGCTTGGCCATAATATTATTTTCATATTCCCATCTTGGCTGTAATAAGATCTCCCGGCCTTTCTTCAGCAGCACTGTTGGGTAGGTTGGAACAGCTATGAGGTTAGTAGGCAAGTACAAACTTGTTGTGGCACCCAAGGATCTACGTAAGCCAATGCAGGCCCTTGAAACTGACCACCTGGAAATATAGAAGAATTTTTCTCTTGATATATCATAAAATAGTCACTATATAGCAGTGATTTAAGAAGACCCACTTTGAAGTGTGACCAATTTGGGCTGTAACTTCCGTAAGAAAATCATTTAATCTGTCGTGAACTTGATTTCTAGTTCCCAAATAGGGATAACATTATGCTTTATAGAGTTATTATAAAGTTTACATATTGTGTTCTGTACAAGAAAAGTACAATGTCTTACATAAGCTTTCAAAATCTACTTGCTGCTATATTAGTTATTCTATATTAGTTACTTGATTCTATATTAGTTACTTGATTCAAATCTTTGTCTAGGAAAACCTTGATGGGTTATGTAACAGCTTTATTTAACTATATTGTTCATTTTCTTCTCTGCAGAGAAGACACGAAGAAATGGGTCTCAAACGGATAAATAACATCTATCTCCCTTTCTTCCTTTCTTTGTAGGACATACCCAGGCAGAAACTCAAGATGGTTATGTGAGCTTCTCCAATTTGACTGTTTTGATCTCTGGGTCAAACTGGCACTTTATTTTTATGGTTACATTCCCACCAGGTAATTTAAGCAGAGAGAGCGCGAGCGCGCGCTTGTGAGAGCGAGAGCGAGAGTGAGAGAGAGAAAGGGAAAGAGAGACCTGTTTCTCTTCAAAATGTACAATGTGTAGTCAACAGAAACTCTGAGGAGCACTTTTGACATTGAATGGGGCTTGGTGAGCGCACTTGACTGCTTGGCTTCTTCCTTTGACTTCCCCTCAAACTTGTGGGGTGCACTAAGAGGGGGTTCATGATGCCACGTTTGTGTTCGTGGTGCTTTCCACTCAGTTACTTTTCATAATTTCCAGTGAGATCAAGCTCTGTTAGAACGAGCTTTGTAACAGTTTAAACTTAAAAGCATAAGAACGGCGGATGTAAACAGTAAGAGCCGTGCACTTCTGTGACCCCTTCCAGATACCATGAGAGCAATTCCTTTTTTCCAAATCCATGATTTTCCACAGCTAGGCTTGGTTAAGTATGTCCTCTCCTTCTCGTGTCTGGGCCAGCTGACGAAATGCCTTCTAGCTAA